TCTCTCTCTCTCTCTCTCTCAGCAGCGAGACTGTGGCACGCTTGCACTGTAGGTGCGCCGCGTTTGAGGGTGCGGGTGCTAGTGGAGCTTCGCAGATGGTGGTGCTGCAGCCCCCTCAGCACCCCCCCCCCCAAAAATTAGGATGAGCCAAAGAGTCAAAAAGCAGAACTACCAGCGCAGCGCCCCCCCAGATCTGGCGCCTTAGGCGACCGCCTATGTGCCTATGCCAAAGACCGGCCCTGTCTAACTTGAAGTGTGTGTTTTGCTCCGCTCACCGGTCCGTCACAGCTGGTGGAGCTGCAGGATTTCTGCTTCACATACCGCTATTTTATTGTCATTTTCGGACACCTTAAAATACTGCCAGACTGGTGAAGCCATTTTGGCAAGCTTTTTTTGCCGGGCACAGAGAAAAGTGTCACGTATTTTACGTCATCTGATCGGCTCCCACGATCGGCCTTTATAGAGAGCACCGATCGATCGACAGAGAGTGAATATCGGCCGATCAATCAGAGCATCCCTAGTTTATACCACTCAAACAGAGATAGAAGTATTGTTTAAAGAACATTATAGGAATTTCGTCACAGTTTTTGTAGAATCTGTTGATGGTAATTGTGGAGGCTTTGGTACACAGAGGTGTCGACCCAATTTGTATAAATAAAAATAGATTAAATATAAAAGCAGTGTCCAACAGTATATGCTTGATTAGATGGCTGTTAGTAAGCCAGGTGTACCTACCCAACTTTTTCTATCTCTTTTCCTATCAGATACAAAGTACACCTTTTTGGATTGAAACACCTTTGTTTTCTTGAAATCAATACCACAAATGCTACTGAAGCAGACCTTGTTGAAAAGCTTTTTGTCTATAATGAGGGTTTGTTTTGGTTGGGAGAATCGTGCCGGACTTACATAATATTGGAGTTGCACTCATACGTCAGTCTGAAGAGGAGAACCAACAAACTAAGAAAAAATGGCTTATACCATGATCACTCGCTTTCTAAACAGCCCCCTCAACTACCTCTGCATAACTCTCTCCAACTCACTCTCAATCTCTCAGACCTTCTGTCCTTCTTTCACCCACTCCTCCCTCACACATCACACTTCTCATTACTCCACAGTGAGAGGCCAATCTGAGGGAGTGTGAGGATTGTGTGTGTGCCTGTGTGAGTGTGATTGGAGCTCCTGCACATCAGTGTCTCACTAAACCCTTGTCCGTCTTCACCTCTGTTCCTCTGGTTACAACTCAGATCAATTGGAGAAGCTACACCTGGAAGCCTAAGCACTTGATATATCGTTGAAGAAACTGGAGTGGTTCAGTTTTTTGAATACTGTAACAAGTGTTGCTGGGCTGGATAACAGCGTTTAGTGTCAGGGTATAGTTCAGATCCGGCCACTGCGATTATCATGTATTACAGGAGCAATGTGTAATACATGTCTAAAGGTTTCAAGAAAAAAGGAGACGGAATATAACCTCTACTACGGGCTCCATACAATCTGCAAAACACTATTCAGTTCTTCCTAAAACACACATTTTGCGATTCATCATGTCCTCTCAAGGTACAAGTTAGGGCTGAACGATATATCGTGTCATGGCGATAACCGCGATATGTGCATGCGCGATATTCACATCGCAGGGACGTTTTTTTTTATTAGGACGTGCGATATTAAGTAGGTGCATTAACTCAAACACGTCATGTTACAATTATTTTTGCTGCTTGCTACAAAAGGGAAACTTGCGCGGCTCTCATGTCAGGGGTACTTGAGTGAGTGACAAACCACCAATCACAATCATTCTTGATCAGATCACAGCAGGCCCCTCCCCACTAGTTTGCAGACCATCAAAACACCGGTGAAAAATGAGCGAGGCACAGGAGGACAATACCGGCGAGAATGAAGATTCACTTCCAAAAAGAAAAGCAACATCTGCCATCTGGAACTATTTTGGATACAAAAAGGTTCTTCTCTTCTTCATTCACAGATGAACCCCCTTATTTGAGGGTAAGCAACATGCATTATCATGACATGTTAGATCATGACTTAAGGTATGATGAGTCAACCAGTTAAGATCCAGACGTCCGTGACTAAAATCCTTCATCCGGTTAAATATAGTTAAAAAAAACGCAATATATATCGCAGGGGGAAAAAATATATATCGCAATGTAAGTTTTGTTCAATATCGTGCAGCCCTAGTACAAGTGGTATTACAAGACAGAACAGATTGTTAAGCATGCTCATTTAGTAGATTTTCTCTTCGACAGAACTCGTAAATTGCTTTGACAGCACTATACACCCATCACATTCTGTTAATAATGTTAGTACATTTTTTGCGTGTTTTAAACAAAAAATCTGCCCATATCTTCCACATCCCTTAATGTAGCACATCTCAAAGTAATAATTAAATATTGTGTTAATTATTTGTGATGGGTTCACAATTTCCTTGGGTCCAGAATTTTTACATATTTTCGGACTCATGTTAAGGTGTTTGAAATAAAACAATTTAGAGTCTCAAGCTAAAGAAAACGGACAAACGCATGTTTACAGTTATTACAGACTATACTATTTTTCTTATTTCACTATTTGCTGTTTTTCTGTTATTGTGCTGCACTGTTGGAGGAGCCTGTGACCTAAGATGTTCATCGTCATAACTACACTGTAGCTATGTACGTATGACTAATAAAAGCCTTGCACCTTGAACCTAAATAAGTTCAAAGTGTTCACTAAGCACATTATTTAAGTATTAAACTCTGCTCTCTTTGTCCCCTGTGTCAAAACTTACAATTTGTATCAAGCATCCAAGTGAATCATGCCGGACTCTTTGGTTTTGCTACAAAGTTAAAACAATGGAACCTCAGCAAGACTTGAATGCAAATAGTGTTTATGAAGGCATAAACTCCAGACTTCTTTGTGTCAGCTCCTTGTAATAGTGTGGACTTGCAAATTATGCTGAATCCCAAGTTATGTGTGCAAAGATGCATAAAGAATACATTTCAAAAGTTGTTGATTGCAACTTCGAGGTGACTACTGATCATAACAGCTCTGCCAGCGTCAGTGATTTGAAAGATAAATGATTCATTGTTTAAAACAAAGAAACACAGCCGTTGTTAAGAAATTGCAAATCATGAAAACAATGAGCCAAAGGGAGAAGTGCTGTGCACCAACAAGAAGTAATGGGAGGAAGACAATACAAGTAATCCACACTTTCAGGCTGGTGAAGGCTATGGTATGTAAAAAAGGAAAACAAAAAACTAATACACTGTATCAACGGCTCTTCAATTGTTTTAACAACAACACTCAAAAGCGCTGTAAGTGTTGTCAGAGAAAATACCTAAATGTCTGGCTTCTGCCACCTAGTATTGTATTATTGTTGAAGTATATGTGCATCTTAATACTCACGCATCTATATCTTGCATCAGATCCAGCTTTCCCGGGAAAATCTCAGACAGGAGCACTCGAGTGAAGGGCTTTCCCAAGGACTCGAGCTTTGACTCCAGATGCTAAGAAGAACAAGAAATTAGATAAAAGGGCCAATGATTAGGTTTGCAAAACAAACAAGAAACATCATTCTATCAAGGGTTTTAAACTAAAGAACATCAAATTATATGTCACAGATCACAAAGCCCATGACGTCCGCCTACTAAGCTTCATATGTCAATCCTTCTGTTTTCTGACACAGTTTACTGGTTGGTGATAGCAAAATAGGCAAGCTGCTGGAGCAGAAATATTGTTTTCCTCATCCATGTCAATCGATTTATCTTCAAAATGTAAGCCGTCGAGAAAATTCTTGGTCTACCTCCATCCAATTTTGGAATAGTCTGCTTTAGTAGGCCCAACCACCTCAACGGGCTCTTTCCAGAGTACCTTACAGATGTTAAATCTCCTCACCCCAGACCTTACACCACAGACAGTAGGCCCAAGTGGATCTGGTCTCACTTGACTTCCTCAGATTGAGTTTAATCGTGCCCCTTGTGTAGAAGCCCAGACAGTATGCGTTATATAACATATCAATATATGAAACAGATGATCCTGTTCAAGGAACTCTCCTGCCTTGCTGTTGCTGCCTATAAAGTTGTGGGTATTGGTACTTGGACTGAGGTGTTGTTCAGAGTTGCAGCCAAACCAAGTGAAGAAATCTCATAAATGTTCCATTGGTGAGATAAAGGTATGGGATTTGCTGATATCCACTGTCCTTGGGAGTATCATGAGCCATTTCTACAACTGTGCTCTTATCAGAGATAGCTCTGTCTCTTTACTTGAGAGATTATCTGACACTGTATTATTTCATCTCAACAGATCGCTATGGAAGAGTTGGTGGGTATTTTTATTCATTTTAGTAGATTTTTTCAATCTATCCTCTCCTTCCACCCTAAAATCAAATGTTTCACTCTCTATTGGCCATATAGTTTTACTGTACACCAATGTTAACTTAAAGTCTGAAGTCTGAATATTTACTATCAGGAGACATGCATCAATAGGTCTAAGAACGTGTGCTGAGTGACAAAACCTTGTTGTGGATTTGTTTTAAAAACTTTTATATCTACGATGTCCATGCAACTAACCAAGCATAGAGACAGGATTATGTTTTTAAGATGAACTAAGATAAAAAACAAAGAAGCCCCTTGGCCAACTCAATGTTCATTGATTCACGGCTAAATAAACTAATACAAAATAGAATATGTATGTATTTTATGAATAAATAAAAACATAAATATAAAAAAGGCATAGTTAATATCAAAGTTGAATCTACAACAGTACAACACAAATAACATAAGAGCTAAAGTGGGAATGTAAGAAAGGAAAAATTATTATATAGAGTATTTTCAGTTTTTCACTCAACACAATAATGGACCAGCATCAGCGTCCACACATTGTTCTAATTGGCACTTTCAAATCAGGATTAGCAATTTGGAGTCAAACTAATTAATTTGTGATTTGAATTTCTAATGTACTAGACTTGTGCAATGAAAACAACGTCAATTAAAAGAACCACAACTTCCACTAATGAACAGATTTTATACAATATTTGTTAACCTTTTAAACATTGACTTATGATTATTTTTCATTATCACTGCTAAATCGATAATAAAATATGCTTAATATCTAAATCCCTGGGACTAACACTTCAATACAGCCAAAGAGGCCAACAGTGAGATCAATGATAGGCTTTGCCATGGCTGTCTGGCTGCATTGTTCTGAATGTGTAAATAACAGGCTCTGAGTGTGAAGACTGCTTGTCCTTTCAGTATTTCATGATTCCCAACGACTTGTCAGAGAAACTGACTTTGATATAAAAGTAGCCTCAGTACATGCAGAGAGTCAAAATGAAGATGCAGATGCTTACCTCCATGACTTTAGGGCTGCCCTGCCGCCCCAGCGTGCCCATGATCAAGCCCCATCTCTGGGCCGATCGAGCCTTATCAATAGCCTGGAGCCTTAAGGCACGCATGGCTTCGTGGTCATAGTACTCCCTGGAAAATACTTTACTGTAGGGGTCATATCTACGGACAAACACAGACAAGAAAAGGCAAAGACACTAAAGTAAATGGAAGATGTGTAGAAGCATAAACAGACAAACCATATCATAGCCATTAAGAACTGTTCTTCATTTATCTATCCTGAGGATAGGAATGCAAAAAAAGATGAAAAAATCCAATCATGAAAAGCCATCAAGTATGACAAGAGTTAGTGTATCTTAGGAGAAATGGAGGTATTTCTGAGCATCTAATCTCCTTCTCTCCGGTACAAGGAGTAGACTTGAGATTAGAATCTTGTTTATGAGAGAGACCTGTGATCTTTGCAGCAGTGCGTATGTCTATAACGGCACAATCAAGCTTTGCATACAAACAAGACCTCATCAAAAAATGAATGTAATCCTCACAAAATGTTATCATGACACTGCGAAAAGGTGAGTGATCCTGAATACAAAGGATTATTTAATATGAACAATCCTTTTCTATGCATAACATATTTTACGGGGATCTAAGGAGGTGATCACATTATTTTACTTGTGGAATGGCCAAGCTTTCTCCTTAGTTTACCACCTTTGCTGTTAGATTACTTATTAGCTGTAATGCAAATTGACCACAATGAACATTTTGTACAATATTTTTGCAGTGAAATAACAAATATTGAGCAAAAGTTATTTAAGTTTGTTTATACCTGTAGGCAGGGATTTCTGGGTTGGCGATCATAATTGACTCCAGGTGAAATCTTCCATCGCCCAGATAACTATAGAAAAAAAAGAGAAAATCGGTGTTGGAGGTAAGAGACGTTATTTGTGTAAAAGACCCCATGTAGACAATAACATGCAATGCACAACCAGAATAAATACTGGCCTTTCATTCCCATTCTCTCTTTCTAGCTTTCTCTCTTGCGCTCTTTTAAAATTCATTCCTCTCTGCAGCCTTTTAACTGAAGACCAAAGTGTTACCAGGCAGAGGGCCTGAGGCTGGGGTGGAGGTCCTGCCCATCTCTGCTCTACGGGGACATGACCCCAACGACTGGAGCATGCTGTTTACAGAGAATGCAAGCCCCTCCAATTAACCCAGGGTCTGGTGCTGGGGATTCACCAGAGCCCGAGCAGAAGCAGGGTTCACAAACCGGAGGCATGCAGGATGCTGAAAACACAAGCTCAGGCAAAACACTCTCATATATTCATCCCTCTCAGGGTCAGATTGAGAAGAATCCTGCTGATACTGTGAGAGGGCTCGGGTTGAACTCATAGCTGTACTTGTCAGTCTCAGTTGGCCTAATGGAACAGGATATGCAATTAAATCCACTAATTGGTCAGCGTTTAGAGCAGCATGAAGCTGTGGGTGGTTTGCCATGCAGCCTACCTGGAGACATTTCTATCCAAGACTTGACTTTCAAATGTGTTTGTGAGAAAGCCCACATGTATGTCTCACTGTGCGTGTCACAACAATGACCTCGAAAATAGCCTTTTTCTTGTCCTTTGCTTAGCAACATCCAAGGCACTTGTTATAGATAAGTACACAATGAATCTGGTGCACTATAGCCAAGGTTGTCCTCAGCTCCCTGTAGCTTTAAGAGGCTGGTGTACTCAACTCTCGCTCTCCCTACGATCACCGTCCATATTCTATTATTCTTTGCAAAAGTGCTCTCTAATGGTAATGCATTATGCAACACTGTATCCTCACAATCGCATCTATATATTGTTATATTACGAATGAGAGCTACAGCAGAGGCAGCAAATATAAATGATAGACTGATCATGGCTCGTTTCAAAACAGCTTCTGAAAATAGTATACATTTGTTCATTATAGAAAAGAACAGACCAAACTTTAGAGCTTGAAGATTGGCCTCAGACACTAGAACACCAACTCGATCTGCATAATGGTGAAGTAGCTCGACATTTTCTTGGAGCACTTACACCTAATTAATTTATGTAAAAAAACGATGTTAAATAAGAGATTAGGGTACCATTAAAGGTGATAAACAAAACCTTGTTCTCTGCTGTTGTTCTTAGAGACAGTGAATAATCAATGATGTCAATACCTTAATAGTGATCTATTAAGGTGAAAGGAAGCTTGTTAATAGCACACTATTAGACAGTAATTAAGATTTGGATGCATTTTCACAGCTTAATAAAACATGTCTTCCAAGTTTAGGTTGCGTTTTATTGTTTTTTTAATACTTTTCTTTTAAATTCATGTCGTTTATATTCTATTATATACATGTAACTATTTGATGCGGGAACATGTTTGATCCATAATGCCAACAAATGTCAAATCAAAAGAGATTGAGACAAAAAAAACGAATCAACTCTCAGTTTAACCGATTCTCCTTAGCAGCAAACCACTACACACCACTACTCACACATCAAAGACAAACCACTTGGGATCAGGAGGTGAAAACCCTAACCCTTCCACTTCTTTCACACACACAAAGAAAGACACACACACCACTTTTGTCTCCCATAGGGCCAGGCTTATGCATATAGCAACGCTTGTCCTTGTGTAGCCATTTTAATCTTATGCACTGGGAGGCTTTAATCACATGGACTGACACCAGATGTGTGTAGATAAGACATACCGGGTGATGCACCGAGACCTTATTATACCCGGGAGTTACTTCAACTCACTGTGCACCACAAGGCAGAGGATTCTCTCTACTGTTGAGCTGCACCAGATGCAAAGACAAAGTGGCTGCGGAGGTGTTGTTTTCTGAACATGTTGCTTTGTCAGAGCACTCTCCTCTTTGCAGTACGGGGGGGATAAGCATCACTTTGACATCTCTCATATGCATGGAGTTTATGTTGATGCAAAAAGACTAAAGAGCTAGTCTATTAGAAGCCTTATCTTCTTCCCCTTTAGAGGAAATGGAGAGGATGTTTAAACTGGCAATCCAAAAAACTGAAAAACATGTTGACAAATGAGGACATGTTGCACGGTTTATCAATTCTCGCCATGAACTTGCCACAGTAGGTGGCCTACTCTGTGAAAACATTCCTTTCAAACTCAGAAAATTGGCTAGGGTGCGGATGCGCTGCAGTTGGTTTGAAAGAGCCAAAAGTGGCCTTGTCTTTCTGGCTTTACACAATTCAATGCTTTGCACAGCGTGAGGGTATTTTTAGCCCTGCCGTTCTGGATCAGCACCTGGCTGTTTCTGGCTGGATATAATAGAAGCCTGATCTGAAGCACTCAGAAACAGCTAGATGTCACATGAACCTATGTCTGCTGTGGCTGGTGTGATACTAATTATCTCTAATGTCACTTAGGTGTGCAGGGGTATTTATGGCACCAGGAGGTGGGGAGGGTTTTCCGGGGGATGGATGTCTTTGATTATCTGGATATTTCTGCTAACTAGTGGTAAGAAGGGACAGGACTTGGCTGAAACTGTGAGGCGGGAGACAGGAAGAGAAGTTGCTTACATTATGGCATTGACTTGACGGTCCAAGCGAGGGGACGTACAGCCCAGAATTTCTCCCGGTGACAGAGGTCGACACTGTGGGACCAGCACATCATACTCTGGTTTGAGGGCTGCACTCACAGCCTGCAGAATAAAACAAGGAGAGGAAAGGATATTTAGAGATGTAGAGGTTTGAAAGCCTTTTCAAAGTTAGAGCCATTAGGTAAAGACTCAAACCATTCATGACTCGTACACATCATTCGAAGTTAATAGTTAAACAGAAACCACGCAATAAGACCAGTCAAAAGTGTTTATAGCCTAATCAGTTTTTCTTCTTCATCTTATGGCACAAATTGAAAAAGAGTCATCAAATGCAGGAACATTATACAATTGAATATGCTATATATATGTGCATAAATACAGGCACTTAATAGCATGAAGAATTGGATTAATGAGGAATTAGATTTGTCTTGTTTCATTTAAACCGCACATTTACCCTAATGTATGGCATATCATACAAAAAAAATCAACAATGTAAGTGAATAGAGAGCACATTCATTTTCCAAACATAAAAGATTAGTTTAAGCAACGTGGGTAAGAGAACAAACAATAACATGAAAAACACGAGTTAGTGTGCATGGAGGTGGAAAGACAAATGAATCGATAGAAGGCTAATTTAAGAAAGTCTACAGGGAATACGGGTGACCTCCCATCTTCTCCCGCCCAAACTGTGAGACCCAACAAGCGCAAGCGCAAGCGCACACACACACACACACACACACACACATACACACACACACCATACACACACACACACACACACACACACACACACACACACACACACACACACACACACACACACCAAACACAACACACACACACACACACACACACCCACAACACACACACACACACACCACCACACACACAAACACAACACACACACACAACCATAAGCAGAGCGAGATGGAGAGCTCAAATGCATACAATACACAACACTGAGATATATTGTTAATCGTACGGCACTGGATGCACTCAAGCACCCAACATATAATATAACCCACATGGGCAGAACGTGGTGTAAAATAACGGCGTATTACATTGGTGAAAGTGGTGTTGGTTCAACCATACGAATGAACGCAGCAGAATGCATTATAGAAGAAGTGGCAGCGGCCTGGAGAATAGATGTTCAAGCTTAATACTATAAGCTGCTGCCACTGGCTTATGTAAAGAGCAGAGCTGAGCACGACGCTGAACTGAGAGCCTTCCGAGTTCATTGCCTCCTTTCAATCCAAAATAACTGCTGCCGGGTTTCTCAAACCCACACTTGAACTGAGCTTAAGTGTGGACTGCAAGCTTGTTCATAAAGGCCATGTAACATATAAAGGATACTGTACAAATGCACAGAAGGTGTTCCTATCCTGTACATACAAAAATACATGGGGGGGGAGGAATGAAAATACACACAAGCTATTTATTACCATCACATCAGGTAAGAATTCCTAGACTTTAGCTGTGTGACACAATCAAGAACACATACACACAATCAGGAGCCTGTGCTTGATCACCTGCAGTGCTGCCACAAACTGAATAGTGCTGACGAGTGCCAGAGATTTTCCGGGAGGGAAGTTGAACTTGACCGTGTCCATGAAGTGCGCATTGTCCATCTGGATATCCACAAACACATACAGCATCTTAATACCTGCTGTGGAGTCTATGGGGACTGTAGGGGAAAGAAGACAAAAGAAAGACAGATGAATAATTGAGTCCGTTATGTCAGGTAAGCCTGCGGTATATACACTATTGATGGTGGTTCAAACATTAACACGCAGTGCATGTCCAGTGATACAGCTGTACAAAAACACAGTAAAGGCACATATATAGATCTCAGCAGGTGTGATATAACTGAAACTCATTCTGCATGAGTCTCCAGCACACGCAGGAACTGATGCAAATGCCTCAATTATTTAGGGAAGGAGAGGGACACATGCAATTACTATTAATGCCATTAATTTCACAGGCCATTTACTACGCCCCCCGGGCCTCCGAGAGGTAACTGGAGACGTGTCGAGTTAGATGCTGAAAAAAGTAGGCGACAGTCCAAGATAATGGGGGGAAAGGACTAAGAATTATCCTCTACGTTGATCATCTTAATTATTCTTCCTCTTGTGTTACATTTCATTTGCAGATCAGGGGCAAGGGGACTTTTTTTGTTATGATTAAGCAAATGGCCCATTATGGTGCAAATGTTTTACGAGTGAGTGCAGCTCACTTGATGGCCTAGATTAAAGCAACATTAGAGCGAGAGATGGTGAGGCAAAGAAGAAAAAGAGGGTGAATAGAAATGGGAGGACAGGGAGCGACAGCAGATCTTTGAGATATACGTCCGTACAAAAGATTGAAGGTAGATTGGATGGAAACCAGGAGGGGGATTGGGAAATGCCATTGATAGTAAGCTGGAAAACCCTGAAATTCAATTTGTGAGAGGGGGTAGTACATCTAATAACTTAGTGTATACATTCCAAAAGATAGGGCTTGGATGAGAGGAGAAGAAAAAGTAACAGGATACTGTGTGCGTGTTTGAAGGAGATGGGGGGTGGGTTGTCAATTAGCTGGCAAGAGAAGTGATGAATGTGCTCAGCAGAGATGGAAGGAAGAGATTTAAAAAGGTGCGCTTTGCTGCAGGCCACATGTTTGGTGAGAAACCAAGGAGTTAAATATATCATGAGACTTAAAAGGACTGGAGGAGTGGAGTAAAAAAACAGACTGAAACTAACAACTGTCTGTTGCTTGTTTATAGGCACTCTGAAAGCGTAAAGGGCAAAGAAAAGGGACATCGATCTGTGCTCACATTAGCATGATAGGCCGAGAGCACTTAGGCCATCCAATTAAGAGACTCGGTCAATGAGATTGACAGGACTCACTTGCCCTATCGTCACCCTCGTGGTCTTGTTCATCTGTGTGTTATAGCCATAAGGTCACTCAGCACAGCAGCTTATTAGCACCCATGTAAACAAATATGCAAGTACATTCTTAGCAAGTGCGACTAAGAAAAGGTTGGACATAATGGGATACTAGCTTATTTACAAGTGGATTGTTAACAGATCGATATGTACAAACATCTTTCATTTTATATTCTACTAGTGGACAACTTTATGAATAATACAGCAAGTTGGTGTCTGAACTGATTTATGTCCAATCTGTGGAAGTACTACCTTTGACGTATCCAAATTCTGCTTATACTTCACTCTAATGCAAATATTTCTGTTCGCACTGAATCAAAAAACGTGTTTTTTTATTATGGTTGCTATGTGGTTAAAAAACAGGTCTTTAAGCCCCATGATGATTGGTCATAAGGGAAGTGTTACCTTGCCTGTTATATCTTAGCGTCATGCTAGTACACATCTCTAACAAATGTTGCCACCTTGGATAAGTGTTGCCTTGAAGCTATATTTGAATGACTCATGCCACTAAAATAGTGAACACCTGCTTTTGATGTGTAAGATGGTTTAGTTATGCTAACATGTATGGCAGCCAGCCTGGCTTCTGAAAAGGGCTTCTTCATCTCCAGGCACTTTTTCCAATCCAGTAAATATACACAAAACAAGTGTAAATTAATAGTGTCTCCTCCCTCGCTAGCCATCACTTTTTTTCTGTTTTTTGTTCTTAAAAATGTACATTTTAATAATGTTGAATACAATTCCCATCATTCATATCAGCAAGCATATCTATTACTTTTTTTAAAAAGCATGGTTTTATGATGTTGCCCATATTGCCCTGCAGTAGATGGAGGAGCTTTATGAGGACAAAATATGAGATTGCACCAATATTCACAAAAGCAGATACTGCAGAAGAAATGAAAAGGTGCAGGAGTTCACTGTGAGTTGCTCAGAACACTGTGTATTTAATCTCTCACAGGTATCTGACATCTCTAGCAACAGTGCAGATGATGTCCTCATGATTGAATGATGAAGGTCAGGAACACACTCACACACAAACCCATACACACCAAACACTGACAATCGGCAGGTCACGACATTCCTTTGAAAATCTCTTCTATCAATTAATATCTGAATTCAAGATGAATTTATCTTTGGTGCCTTCATCGCTGCTGGTTTGGTGTAAATGAGAATGTGTACACATATTATCTCTTTTGTAGACTTACAACAATTCAATCAAATCATTCTTTCACAAATATCAAGAAGCGAAAGTGCACACACTTACAGATAAACAAGCAAACAAATAAAACAAACAGAAACACAGACACCAACACAAAGAGAACACAGTGTTTCGGTGATTTAACATTCTGTTGGTCAGTTCTGGTATTTGGGAGAGGGGAGATTGTTCTGGCAGGGATATATCAAAACTATTGATTTAGCATTTCCTCCCATGTTACGCAAGAGACAGACTGCAGGGTTTGAAGGTCCTCAAGAACTGCTTGAGGTTTTCAAAGGACGGCACTAATGCATGTTCCCTATTGATCCGCAGGGTAAATGTGATGTCCGGGCTCCAAAGGTCTGATATGCCTCCTATGCTAGAGCTAGGCGGGCTTCACTAACTAGTTAAGTTTTCCTTTGATCGATAGCTCGGCCTGTATCTGACTTCTTTGTGGTGCAGCCCACACCAAGTAGCTGGGAGTCCTTGGTGCTTGTTCCTCTGGGTGGTATAATCCTACATGCAGAGTGACGGAGAGACAGACAAACATGCACACAGGCAGGTAAAGGGACTCACTTAGACAACTGTGGCCGTAGTGCACCATGAAATCGGCTCCCAGCGCTCTGGCGGTGAAGTCGTCCACACAGCAGGCCCCGTATGTGACGTCCCCCATCACGATGGTATCTGCCTCCGTAAACCTGGGAAGTACACACATGGAGACACTAATCGTTGCAGTCACGGACCATATGCACATCCTGTTGTTCGTTACCATGGCGATCAATACCATAGCATGCCCGGCACAGTGTGATTACGAGAGAGCTGAATGAGATCGATCCCTATCCACTTGCTTCAGATAGAGTACACTTTATGGAATCTGACAGCGTTGTCAGTCAATGAGTGACTCACAGCTTATCAGAGTGACACACTGCTATTCCTCTGCTCCTCATGACCGGCAGCCAAAGGCCCGAGTGCGGCACAAGCTGTCTGATGACCTATTAACCCTCGCCTGGCAGTGCTTTACTAGACAGCCTGACCACAGAAAGGAGGCTACACAAAAGGAAGAAGCAGTAGGAAGGGAATGACTGGTGCACAAAGGCAGATTAGAGTTTGGCCCAATCCCAAACCACGCCCTACACCTACACACTCCCCCTCTGTGACGTAGTGAACTCCGTGGAGTGACACTCGCAGCTCAATGAGGCTCCCTCCTGTCAGATGGAGGGAGTAAATACAGCAGCAAGCTTTGGGACGGCCTCCCCTCTCTCCAGCAGAAACAGGAAATGCCGTAACTGTATGTAACAACGGTTTCAAATCAGCATCTCTTGGACAAAAAATGTAAATTAATAATTAAAATAAACTCCAAACATATTTCATTGTGTTACTTTTTTGTAAAACTCCTTAGTTTTAAACCTGATTTTTATAAGCTTCTTAGTTTTTGCAACAGTCTGTAAATATACACAACTTTATAATAAAATGCACACATTTACCTTTTTCTAGACTAAACACAGGTATGATCCTAAGTTAAAACATATGAGGTTATCATGAGGTTGTTAACATCGTAGTTTATCAGTGGATGTTTGCTGGAACTACTTGTTAACAGCGTGTTTCCTGACGGACACACACAGCGTGCTCCGGTCAGGTAGAGACCGGTCTCAAGTCAGCACTGCTGCAGACTCGCTGTTTGAGGGCTTGATAGCCCACTCCCCCTCCACACCGCTCCACACTCGTTGCTTTGGAACAGCACTTAATGTGGCGGACCCTCCGCGTGAACGCGCAAACGGAGGGGTAGTGTGTAGGGGTAGGGTGTAGGGGGTGGTTTGGGATTGGGCCCTAATATGGGCCTTGGCTTACACTATCTGTGGCATTGATTTACTGCACACCTGCCAGGGAACTAGAGAAACATGCACCAGTTAGTGTTTGCCACATTAAAATAAAATAGTAGATGCTTTATGCCACAAGTAGGTTGCGAGAGCGTAACACTTCCCGTACGAGCCTAATGTTCCACTTTGCGGCTGTAATAGAATCTTTTTTTCACGGCCTTCTTGAGAAGGAAACTACCAAATTACACTTGCATCTGTGGACCCAGATCTGTTAGAATGAATTGCCGATCCCACTACAGAAAAAAAAGTTATTTCTTTTATTGCCCTTTATGGGCAAATAAAATGCTAAGTAAACCCTTAAAGGCTGAGTAAAATGAATAAAGGCTGAGAGTTACAGGGAGGATGTGCAAATGAACAGAAGCTTGAGGCATTGTAGGGGGGGAATATGGGTTGACGAGGGGGTGGTTGTTGCAACATTTTGTGGCTGTCTTCTGACAGATTTAGGCTAGACAGAAGGGGTCAAATAAAGATGAGACAGAGGACTTGAGGAGAGGAGCAAAGTGATAAAAAGACATGGCTGCACACAGAACAATCAACAGACTCATAGTAATGTGTCTCCTGCTGCCCAATCTTTCAACGGACATCCACTCTCTGTTTATTCCTCAGTCTGCTCCTCGCAAGGGGCTTCAGACAGAGTTTTCTATTTAGCCTCTCCTCCTTTATTTTCTCTGATGTAATCTCTGGTTTGAACTCTCTCTGGCCTCCACATCATCGTCCCCACATTTGGCATTTGGTTTCTCCCTCTCTAGTTCCCTGTCCCTTCTCCTCTACTCGCTGTGCTTCAGTGAAGGGTAGTGCAGGCCAGCTGAGCCCAGGGAAACATAGACAGGGCAACTCGTGTGGTAAATAAATATTTGAAGATTTGAATCAATTACCCTCTCTCTTGTCAAGGTTTTAATGCCGTCAGTGTGTGTCTCTTTGTACTGCGTACACATGCGAATGCAGCCGGCAGCAGGAAGGTAATTACGGGTTAGTAAAAATGATATAATCACACGAGGTGTTTGAGGATTGTGTATTGGTGCACTAGTTTGCTCATTCCCTGCAGTCCATTGTTCTTTCATCACATTCCACTGATTTTGTTTGGAGTTGCATAAACGTGCACGAACATTTCAGCTAAAAATACACAGCCTGCCCACAACGAAAAAAGAGAGGTTATTCCATGCAATCCACAGCAGAGCATCTACAATGCAAAACACAACACTGAAAATGATTGTATCTAATCAGCCAGCTATCTGCCAGAAATAACGTTATAAATGGATCTCTATTGGCACTGCAGTTCATATCCAGCAATTCTCAGGGTGAGTACTCTGAGATTTCATGGTAATAAATGCTAAGGATCCGATTAAAAAGCCCACAAGAGACATGTGATGCTACTGGGACATCGGCAGAGTAATTACTGGGCAACGTATAGACCTATATCCCACTGGGAGAGAGGAAAAGAGGGAAGACAGAATGAAAGGTCGTATGAGAGAGAATTATAGAATGAAAAGTGTATCAGTCTTTTCTAAAAGCACAAGCTACGCATCTCCTTAGAAATACCATACGATTGGTTGGGAGAGCGTACGTTCCCTCCAGTAGCTTCCCATTCATTCCTCTCTACATCTCCTTTACTGCTCTTCCTTTTCTCCCCTTTCCAACTCGCACTAATCTCTGGTGTAAGTCACTTTCTGGATTCCTTCAGTGTATCAGCGCTGGGTTTGCCTCATCTCAGGGTACTCAGTTCAGCCATTCCAACTGAAACGTCATTAAGATCTAATTAAGATGTCAGAGAAGCTTTTGAACTCCATAACAGCGCTTGTTAATGACCTCTTTAGCATATAGCTCAATATGTGTGAGAAACTGCCAACCGATCAGAATCTCTGCTTTAAGACCACTGTCCTGCCATGCTGCAAACACTAGTTGAGGAGCAGGTTTTCTCTTGGGTCTATCAATTTATGTAAAAAATGACAGTTCAAAAAAGGTTCTTATAATGATCCTTAACCTGGAAAACAGTATTCTCTGTAACTCTTTGTCTGGCTGAACAATACAATAGATGATGAGTTTTACAAGTTTTTATTGTTCTATTTTTCTGCATAGAAATGTCCAGTTGTGTTTTTGAGAGTCAGTGTATTAGGTTGGGGGGGACATTAATGCTAGTTTAAGATGATTTCTTCAGGTAAGTGGAAAGACTGAATTACAACAAACAGTCATTCACATTTGAAACATTAAGATCTACATTAATGATCCATAACTCAAACATTATTTTGTCAGATATTCCCAAGGTCAAACAAATGGAGCTATGTCAAAGCTAAACGCGTATTAATTTGCCAAGAAACTATTCATGTTTCAAAAAACAATGTGTATATCTTGTTAGTTATGTTTGAAGCAGTTCATTTCAAATGGCATATCTTTGTCATTGTGTAAGTGGAAATGCCCTCAAGATGTATAATTGCTAGTCATTGTTTTTTATTTTCTTAACCATCAACATTAGCTGTATCTGAAACTGTAGCTAGAATTGTTATGACAAACAAATCATAGGTAATAAAAATGACCAAAGATCCTAATGTTTACAGTGACACAAAATGAAAGTAAGATGACTTATTGACTTAGTTACAGTAGATACAATGCTGCATAAAAACACACATCTAAAGTCATAAACATGTAAACACTGTAAGATATCAATATAAATAATATTGTGATATTTGATTTTGTACATATTGAATAGCACTACAATGGGCATAATGTTTTTTAGGCTTTGGTTCTTATATGCTTTTTTTCTTGTCCTTCCCCATCCCAAGTGACCCAGAGACTATGTTAAGTGCTTTGCTCAAGGACAAGGCAGAATGGGAAATTAAGTGTCATGCTGGATTTCCGAACCTGAATGTTTCCCTTCTGGTCTCCTAATGTTAGGGAAGCACTGCAGTGTTAACACACTAATGATTCTGATGCTTCACTATTATGATAGGTGGGGTGCAATCAAACCCATTTAAGAAGAACAACAAGCTGCTTTAGTGTTGCTTGACATGCATTTGCTTGGAGGGCCTGTGAATGCTCCACAAGCTTGAACAATTAAATAAAAACTGGCGACAGTTAAACTTTCCATCTGCCATCATTAGGTGGGCCGATCCAATTGGCACATTGGAGGCTTCTTTATTTCCCTGCTGATGTGATTTTTTGGCACTGTTTATTTTGTTGGCCAAGTGCAATCTGGGTGAGAAAATGACTAGAGCTTTGTCAAGCTATCCAGGTTCCAAGGTCTGCATCACTTGGGGTCATCACAGTACTTTTATGCTACCTAAGTGTAATTTTCAAACCTGATTAGCATTTTCCATCTAATTAAGTCATAAATTATGTAAAGTTATTACAGGGAATACCAGAAACCAACCAAGTGTTTTTCTGGCAGCAGCTTGGTAGTCATCACTGTCCTCTCACAAAAGATAGTTCTGGTTTTAATCTTCAGCCAAAGCTCTTTCTATTTTAAGACTGCACGTTTTCCCCGTGGGTTTGTGGGTTTCCTCCAGGGGCTCACATGCAAATGGTTTTCCGTCTCTAAATTGCCAAAGAAGATCGTGAATATGTTGACCCCGATGGATTGGAAATCTATCCAGACTGTTTCACCGCCTCTCACTGAGTGCATGCTGGGAAGATCTCCAGAATATCTTAGCATCCTAAATATTGTATTTTACAATAAACGGCAGTGCCATGTGTTTGTTTACATGTCAGGCCATCCATGCTGGATCTTGGCTCACATACATTGATATATGGTAAATGTTTAAGATTAAATGATAAAAATATGTATAACAGACTTTTCTGCATATCAGCAAGAGGGTTCAGGATCTTCCTCAAGCATATTATAATA